TAGGGTTTAGGGCTTAGGGTCTAACTACAAAGGGAGGCCTAGGGAGTAGCTTTTACCATCAATCGGGCCTGTGCTAATTTTTTGGCCTTCTATATTCAACCCAAAAACCGAAGACCCGTTATGTTATAGATCCATTCGAGGAACCCAAAGGGATGGCATTGCGTTCTTGTTCTTGGTGACCGTATAAGATCCTCAATATAAGATTGGTAACACCAAAATACAGGAACCACTGTTGATGATATAAATCCTGCACGGCCTTAAGGACCCTAAACTATGGGAGTTATGGTATATTCCTTATTATTATGGGGTGATGCTGCCACTTCTGCGTTCCCGCCATCGTCTCAGCTCCATGTGAGCAGGACCGGCACCTCGGAACTGTCAACTCTTTTAATGTTGCAAGGAGTAGGGCCTAGGGCCCAGGGCCTAAGCCTAGGGTTTGGGGTTTAGGGTTTAAGCTTAGGGCTATGATTTCAGGGTTTGAGATTCTCGCTGATGTAACTCGTATATGTTTAGGACTCAGGATCGAGATTTAGGGGTGTAGAGTCTGACCCCAAAATCTGCTGCTTACAACCTGGAGCCTAGAGACCTCTATAATGGTGTAGAGGAGTGGGATGGGCGCCGATCACAGGCTTAAGGTAGGGTGGGGTGGCGATGTCGGCTCAACTCTAAGGAAACTCCAACACGAGTATAGAATAATTCCATTGTGTCGAAAGCGGAGTGGGAGGTGCGTGCGTGCCACTTCTGTTTGCTGCCAAAAGTCAAGGCTCGGTTCTGGCATTAGGAAACCCCAATACGAATGGTGTACTGGACCTTTCCAACGGGTCTCGCAACAGAAAACTCTCCTCCACCGCGGAGCAGTGTTGGGATTACACGGCGCTTATCACAATGATTGCCTTTGTTACGATCACTACTAAAGGTTACTAGTTACTATTGTCATTTGTGGCATTCTGATTATTGCTTTAACTGTTGCTCTTCTTCCCATTGTTGACAGTTTTGCAATTGTAGCCTAAATAAGCTTTTGCTGTTACTATGGTCAGGCTGTTAGAAATGTCGGATATTTTATTAGAGGTTAGGTCCAGGGAATAACGTCAAACCACTGCCACATGTGGAAACTCACACTCCATGGATTAAGTAAACAACGTCAAACATTACCCTTCCCCTCTTGTCGCTCTTTTCTGCGGTGCTGTGCAAACGCCTCGACAAAAGGCGAAATCCATAGGGTCTGTGCAGAAGTAGGCGGGTCACTGAGCAGAAGGCTGTTCCTATCTGCAGGCTTTCTGGCATGAAGCGTCTTAGAAAGAGGTTAGGGGTTTATAGTTCCTGATCTCATGTGCTTTCAAAGTCCCAAGGGTCCTAAGTACCTATATGGTAGAATGTAGGGTTTCTATATTAGGAATTACGATTATGATTTAGGGAAGTATCCCCCATAACAGTAGCTAGGGCCCTTTGGGAGTCGAAACATCGGATTGGACAAGCACATTACAGTCTTCATCGCGGAAAGCCCGTGCCTCAACCTACGTTCTCATTTGCACGTCCGGGTGACGCTGGGGATGATGAGAGTTCAGAGCAACTGTCCCGAAACTGACACGAGTTGCAAAATTGACTTTCCAATTTTCCAGAATTGTCCTCAGCTGCATGGTTCTGTTGTGACTGAAGGAACGGCGGTGACTGCTGGCTCCTATATGTACTCCTGCCGGGCTCCGTACAAAGCATCAACCTCTATGGAGACCTAATGCGGTCTTTTGTCTGCCCATAGCAGGTTACACTACGGTTGGTGATATAATTCCTGCATCACCCATAATAAGGAACCTACCATAATTCCCCTAGTTTAAAGGGTCCTTAAGGTAATGCAGGATTTATATCATCAGCAGTATCACTACTATACACCCGACACACTGCGCCCCAAGTACACGCCCAAGCCTTAAACCGAACCCCAAACCCCGAAACCATAACCTCGAGACCCTAAACCCCGAGCCCTAACCTCCGAACCCACAGCCCGAAACCCCAAATCCTAAACCCCAAGCCCGAAACCTTTGTATCCCAAACCCCGTCGAACCCAAGACCTTTAAACCTGAAGACCTGGCCAAAACCCTACATAGAGCCCTTCAGTATCCCATGTATAACCTAGATAACCCCTAACCCTAAACCCTAGAGCCTAAACTCTAAACCCTAAACCCTACATCCAAACTAGAGGCCCAGGCCTTCGACTAGACTCAGCAAGTAGGGCCTCGCTTCGGCCTACAGACTAGTAGAGCGCCTCTTTTCAGGGTTTCTACGGGTTCTATGGAAGTTACTCTAAGACATGGCGGGTTTACCCATAGGCCCCTAAGTAGTTCCTTTTTATGGTCTATATTTAGAGTCTCAAAAGGTAATCCCCAAAAGGAACTACTTAGGGGCCTATTGGGTAGGTTCAGGGTTTTGTAAACAGAAAAAAGGAAACAAATTAAACAAATATGCTGAATACCGGCAAGAGTCGATCAGGGCGCATTTCTGAGCCTCACCTTGCCAGAAGGGAAGCTGCTCACGCGCATCTTGCCTCAATCCTTAGCTCAGCTTCCGGCTCGCTCCTACGGCCGGTAAGATGTAGGCTTGTCGGGGTTATCTAGGTTATACATGGGATACTGGAGGGCTCTACAAGGGTCGATGTAAGGTTTGGGGCCAGGGCTTCAGGTTCAAGGGGTTTGGGTTCGACGGGGTTTGGGATATGAGGGTTCTGGAAGCTTCTTGGTCTTGGGCCTAGAGACAACGAAGTCTTCGAGGTTCCATAGGGCCGGATCTGATTTATTCAGATACCCAGCAGAGGCAGGGACATAAGACGGCTGATGATATAAATCCTGCATTGCCTTAAGGACCCTGAACTTTGGGAACCATTATGGTATATTCCTTAGTATGGGTAGTGCAGGATGTATATCATCAACCGTAGTAACATGGGTGGGCCTCAGGAGCATGTAAAGCTAACCCAAAGGTGCGAGAAGGTCTGGCTTGCGGGGCATTGGACCTGAGGACCGGAAACAAAAGAAGGCTCGTGTGCGATATTTGGGCTAAGACGCGGCTAAGAGCTTACCCGGACCGATAAGAACCTAATTTTTTTGTAAAGACCTGTATAAGGTCACTACCCTAAAACAGAACCCTGACTCGACCCGGAGCATGATGGACCCAAGGCCGAGACATGAGAGCCGAATGTAATCTCAGAGCATTTGTGTACAGTATCGGGCCGTTTAGGTGCAATTAGGAGTTGCAATCATGTCGTTATTGAGCTTCTAAAGTTAAAATGCCTCCTACACCCTAAAACTCCAACCTGAATCCTCTCCCCTCTTACCAATTTTGGGAACTCTTAAAGAGACAGTGTTCATGAATCACGTGTCTACACTCTACACTATACTTCTTGTACCCCCTGAACTGCGAAGCCCTCCGACTCTTAGCAGAACAAGCTGCGCTTGAGGTGAAGGAAGGCTGTTGTTCCTGCGCACGGTCAGAGTGCAGGGTTGATAATTGCGATATTGATTTTCCTATACCCCAAAAGGAATACCATTGTTGGTTACCGTGGTTTCATAATGTCGGGTCCTGAGCATAAAATGGGTTGTCCGAAAAATGGTAGTGAAGTCCAGTGTCTAGCCAAGGGTTGAAAGTACAACTCACTCGGCCCCTGAGTCGCTAGGGCTCTGCTTTAGGTGTCATTTGGGAATTTTGTGGCAACTTTATCTGCATCTTCGGGATTCTGAGTTTCTACAGATTTGTTTCGTCGGGTTGCAGAGTTTGCTATGGCTGGAGGGTGATTCTGGATGATTGTCTCTTCTGGAACCGCTCGTCTGCAAAAATAGAGCTGTTCTTTTGCTAGAGTAGCCAGAAAATCTAAACATCAGCGTTGTGACTGTGATTTATTGTAGCAATAACTAACTAAGACTTATCTAAAACTGTATGTAGATATACAGGTATACATGTGCATACATATGCATATATATATGTAACACGACACGTGCAGCTATGTACACTTGAACACTTTAATGGAAGGTTGATTGGTAGTTGGCTCTGTTTGGGGTTTATTTACAGGGCGCTGCTTGCCCAAGACCTAAACCTGCTTGTGCAGTATCTCCAGTGCCCTAAGTGCAGTATAACAAAGGTTAACCTATGGAAACGCAACGGAACAGTTCTGCAGTAAACGAAGCGGCTTAAGACTATTGGCATGACTGCAAACAGCAGTAAACACGGAACCAAGGCATGCAAGCAACTACCCGCCTTTGTGCGATGAGGTGTAGATCCAACCTTCCGAAAACTTTGGCGCAACCTCAACCGGCAACCCTGCTGACCCACAACCAAACCATCTACACGAAGCCTTCTCGGAGTTAACACATTGGGCCCTAATCCGTAAAGGCTAAACCTTTATCTACAAGCACAGAACCCCCGGATCCAAGCAAGATTATGCGAAGCCAAGATAGGTTCCTTCCCCCGGCATGGACATCAAGTGCAGAGAGCCACCGAGGTACCTGCACAGTCAGAGACGTATATACGGTTTAGGTTTCATAGCGTCTGTGACACAGGGCTTCGGGGACTTCAGAGGTCCAGAGGGCTTTGGACACAGAGCTATGGCAGCTATGGCATGGAAGATGCATGGCATGGTCTTGCGCTCAAACAAAAACTGTGTGGTGGGTGGTGCGTTGGGGGGGGGGGGGGGGGGGCGTGCTGTGACATTCAGGTGCAATGTATTAAACGATACTTTCAGAGGTAATACTACATTTACTATTACAATTATTAATTACTGTTATCATCTTTATTAAAAAATGTTGTCATGATGATCAATATCACAACTCGTATGCCGAAACCCCGTGACTGGCACCATTGGGTGTGTTGGGTTCAATGGACCAATTCGCAGCTTCTAAAGAACGCCCTCACATCACCCACCCTAACCAGGTCCTAGGCTGTAGCAGATCCTTGTGGATAGCCGGGTAACCTCTTTGATGGTCAGGATCCTGCAATTAGAATCTGAAGTATCGAAAACAGGTACAACATGTTGCGGTCTAGGTAAACCCCAAACACGCTACTGTAAACAAAATACACGCAACTATCTTCGGTCCGGCATAACTCCGTCCTGCCCGCACCGGAAAACACAACCATCATCCTGAGGCAACAGAAAAAACCCTCTACCAGAAGTCTGAATAATTACCCATGCTATTCCCTAAGGTTCCCTATTATAGCTGCACAAGAATACCCCTCAAACCCTTTTCAAATAATTGAGGCTCCTGTATTGCCCGCATCTTCTGAGCCGCGCTGAACGATGCTGCAACTGAGGTGCTGCGCATAGAGCCGGCTCAAAGGCAATCCAACGCCATAGCCTCATGAGGCGGGTTTATCTGCAAGCAACGTCCTGTGTTCAGTTTTTTTTGTTTGAGGGGGGGGGTTCTCGTGGTCAAATTAGGGGCTTTATGTACAGGTTATTACATTTACATGTACTGGATGTGCTCTGCTGGCACACACAGCAGACAGTTATTCTCCCAATGTGACCTTGTGCTGATGCTCTCCTCGGCTATGGTCATTTGCTCCGGGTTATGCTGGTGATCATGTCTCTTGCTTGGCGGCTTGCATCTCATCCCTCCCTCATTCTTCTCCTACCTCGTCTTCATAAGACTTGTCATAAGAGTCGTCGACTCGACAGTGACAGACTTCATACGCAGTTTCTTCACCTGCATGGGTGGTGTTCATCCACTGTCACCCTATCGTATTAAGCGTTCCCTCCGGGTCAGAGCAGCAGCAACAGCAAGATGCATATCCCCTATAACCTAAACCCGAAACCCTATCTTACCTGTACTCTCCATTGAGTTCTGTCTTTTTGCTACCTTGTCTGCTTGCCAAGGATCCTGCCCAGATATCCCGACCCTAAGGGTCCATGTACCGAAATATACACCTATGTAGGGATTACTGTTAAGGACAAAGGTATATACTACTTGGGCACATGGACCCCTATAGGGCTACACAGAGAGCACGAATATTCAAGACTGTACGTGCTACAGCAACTTGCAGACACAACGCTAACCAGCCTAAAACCTCATAGAACTGTAGAACCTATAAGCCCTAGACTCTATAGCCCCAGCAGCCCCAAGCCCTAACACCTTGAACCCCCAAGCCCTCAGCCCTCAACCCCAAGCCCCAAACCCTCAACCCTCAACCCAAACCCCAAACCCAAACCCCAAACCCTAAACCCAATGCCCCAAACCTTAAAGGAAACTACAGGTGGGGAGTTTTGGGTATATAGGGCGTCCATAAGGCTTCTATAAGGTCTATATCTATAAGGCTCCTATAGCGGTAACTATCCACCTGAAAATGTCCCAGAACACCCCGTGAACTCCCATGATCCCTAAACCCCAAACCCTCAACCCTAAACCCAGACCCCAAACCCTAAACCCTAAACCGTTCCTAAACCCTATGCCCCAAACCCCATGAACTCCCATGATCTGACACAGAGCCAGCCAGTGGAGTCCCTTGATGCTCCCAGGCGTCTGACCGAGTGTCCTTGTTTTGTCGAGGGTTCCGGGTTTAGGGTTTAGGATTCCTGGTTTAGGGTTTAGGATTCCTGGTTTAGGGTTTAGGGTTTAGGATTCCTGGTTTAGGGTTTAGGGTGTAGGGGTTTAGAGTCTTAGAGGTTTACGGGGTAAGGGTTTAATAGGTATAGGACTTAGACTTTTTGGGGTGCCTGGTTTAGCAGTCTTAGGGCTTTGGGGGTTTCGGGTTTGGTTTGCAGTGGGACGTGAAAGCTGCTGTCGTCTACTTCAACACTTGCAGGACTTCGGATTTAGCAAGCAGGATTACAAGAAAGGTGGCTTCCTGGCTTCTACATTCTGAAGTATTTAAACCCCAGCTAGGGTACTTGACTTGCAACTTTAATGAGAAGAGGCCCCCTCCACTTTGCCAGTGCATGGTGAGGCACGCTGCAGGAAAAAAAACCGTAGTCCGTTTAGGGGCAAATCTTGAGCCGGGCACTCATTGCAGCGAGTCACTTGGTCCCCACATGTCTGGTCTATTGACAATGTAGTAGCAGATACTTGCACAGTAGACCTAGTTAGACAAATAAAGCGTCTTGGGGCTCAGGGAGGGGGATGACCTCGAGCTGAGCTGAAACTGAAGCAAAGGACCAGAATTCCCTGCATAACACCAAACGGTGCGAGTGTCGGCTGTCGAGTAGGTGTAAGACCAAACGCGGTCCGCCACTTCAAACGGGATACCACCCGCCAAATCCTGCAGGCTAGGACTTGCGATCGGGCATAAACGATGCTGCCACTAGACTGTTGTAGACTGCTGAGGCCTACTACTGTCATATCGCGATTTTTGTCATAGTTACCGGGCTTTGAAGTCAAACGGCATCTGAGATCAAAAAGAGTTTTGGAGCTGAGTTTGGGATTTTGGTTCTAGATTTCAGCGTTCAGGGTTGAGGCCTTTTACGGGCCTAAGCCGTGGCGTCTGAACCCTCAATGTCGCCCAATAACCCTAACACCCAAACCCTTAAATCCCTTAAAAACACTATTCCCTAAATGCCAAACTTGCACCCTACACACTAAACCGTAAACACAATACCTTAAACACAAAACCCTAAACACAAAACCCTAAACACAAAACCCCTAACTCTAAACACGAAGGCCCAAGAAACACTTCTGGAAGCCGGTGAGTCGGCCCTGGAAGTAACATAGGGGCCTTAGCAATTAGAATATGGTTCCTGTTAGGGTTTAGGGTTTAAGGTTTAGGGTTGTGGGTTTAGGGTTTAGGGGTTTAGGGTTAGGGTTCCTTCAAAGGGACACTACGGTTGATGGTATAAACCCTGCATTACACTTAAGGACCCTAAACTATTATGGGAATGATGGTAAATACCTTATTATGGGGTAATGCAGGATTTCTATCATCATTTCTAGGTCACAGTCACAATTAGAATTCTAAATCCTGTACTCCTCACAGTCATAGCCTTGTAGGCCCAAAAAATCCCGTCCTGAATTCGGATCGCTACCTGTCCAGAATTGGCGCTGACTGTGCAAACAATCCTGGGCTGAGGGGGGTGCATTCATTTGTTGGTCTTTGGGCTTGTCACTAGTTCCCTTAACCCTATAAAACCCTGCCCTTTTTAGGTCTTCCTTATGATGACTTCTTTCTAGAATTCCATAAAAAAAAGTAGGTTCTTCGGGGTCCAGTTCAAACACCCTGAATCCCTGAGCCGACACCCCAAACCCCTAGAACCCTAAACCCTAAAACCCGGAGCCCTATACTCTAAAACCTAAACCCTAAACCTTAGAAACCCTAAGAACCCTAATTGGCCCTAAATTCTAAAGCTTACAACCCTAAAACTCTGAGGTGTGTGGGAAGCTCGGGGATTGCAGCGATTGAGATGTTTCGGGTTTCTGGTTTGGGGTGTATTGGTTTGGTGTTTAGGGGCTTCGGGTTTCGTTCTTTTTGGGTTTAAGGCTTCCAGCTTCGGGCTTACGGGACTATTTACGGGTGTCGGGTTTCGGGGTTTAGGGTTTCGTGTTGTTCGGGTCTCGGGTTTAGGGCTTCGTGTTGAGGGTTCATGATTTAGGGTGAGTGGTCTAGAGGTTTTGGGGTTTATGGGTCAGAGTTTTGTCAAGGGTGCATTGGACCTCCGCACCGCCATGTCCTGCGTTTGTTAGGAAGACACCTCCCAGGTCCTCTACTTCGCGTCAGTATAGCTCTCAAGACATTGACCACGTCCATGGAAGAGCCGAAGGCATGGATTAGTTGGGTCACAGCCCATCTGTACTCGGGTCCAGCTCCATGTTGTTGCCCAAAAGGGGATACTACTACTACTACTACT